TAGGGTTTAGGACTTAGGGTTTAGTGTTTAAGGTTTTTTTGGCTCAGTGGTTGAGGATGTTGCCGTCGCAGTGACAAGCCTGCATAGAACCTACAAGCGAAGTAAACCCCGCTACAAGTATCACACAAGCCCCATGGCAACCCTTCCCTAAACCCTAAACCCTAAACCCTCCTTGACTTGAAAAAAGAAGAACAACAAAGCCTCTGAGGCTCCTCGTCTAAACTCCTCTCCCCAGAGCGCATTTAAAGCTCCTAAATCCTAAAACCTCGTGAATTTGGGCTTAGGCATCTGGGATTAGGGTTTAGGGTTTAGGGTTAAGGGTTTAGGGCTTCGGGTTTAGGGATTGGGGTTTACGGTTTAGGGTTTAGGTAATGACAAACCCTAAATCCAACCTCGGCTGTCGCCAAGCGGATCAGGTGGGCGCGGTCGAACCAGCGGATGGGATTTTCGGATTCAGATCTCCTCTAGGATAAACGAAGCATATGCATAGTTCTCTAAATGAGGGTCCCGTTTGAGGTCCTGTTGACCTAAAGCGGGACCCTAATTTATAGGGATCACAAACGAAGGTTGTGATTGATCATTCCGCCCCTGATAGTAGGGTGGCCCTTCAGCGTCACCTGTTCTCTGCAGAAGTTGTAAGGTCAGGGCTTCCAGGCCTTCTGGATGGGGTTTCAAGAGCTGCGGGCTCTGCGGACTTATCTTAAGCTCAGGTTGTGCGCTTGGGACTTGGCTGGTGCTTGGGGCCTTAAGTTTTTGGGGTGTTGCGTTTTGGATATGATGCCCTCGTTCTCAGTGTCATCTAAAGATGTTCCAAAGGTTGCAACAGTTTAAGGCTTGCAGTTTCAGAGTTCAGGGCTGGGGGTTTGAGGTTCATCATTTCGGGCTTCGGGCCTGTGATAGAGGAGTGTACATTCACATCATGAGATATCTTGCCGTGGCTGCGGCGAGCATGGAGTGCTCCCTAGACCACAGACAACTCAGGCTTCAACCTCTACCCTGCCCGGAAAAGCTGCTGTTTTGGCACCCCAAGTCCTCTCAAACTTGCGCTTGATGCTGCGGTCCGGGTTCAAGGCCAACAGCCCCAAGCACTCGGAGAAGGGAGGCGTTCCGGGTGGGCAAAGTAGACTCTGGCCCAGCAATACACTGCGTGCCCGCTGGAACCTTGTTGCAAAAAGAACCCTGCGCCCTATGACCAGCACCTGATGCCTAAATTTTGCGACCCCAACCAAAGAGGGCAGGAAATCTGCCCAAACATCAGGCTCTCTGTGACGCATGACAAGGAGTTACAGTACAATGCATATCTTGGTACACATGTGTACTGTAAATATGTACTACATATATATATACACATACGTACATATTGCATGCACGCACGTACAAGCAAAGGGTATACCCTTTCCCCCGTGTTGCAGCGGAATAAATAGGAAGCTGAACCCGTACATCTACGGCGGTAATCGTGACCCGGTGAGTATGAACACAACAAGCACTGCATAAGAATGACAATTTACGTCAAGGTTTATGGACCCTGGTAACAGCGCTGGCACGACTTAGATGCCTGACGGTAAACCTTGGCCGGGCTGACCCGTAACAAGAATTCCAACGAACGAATAACACGTACATGCAAGAGCGGCAGCATGGAATTCACTCCTGCGACTGTCCTAGTGTCATCGAGAATGAAAGTGAGCATGGCAGTAGTCATGCAACCACCCATACAACAGCGACAATGCCGAGAATGGCCTTTGCAAACACACAGTAAACGAGGCACAATATCCTAAGAGTTAGAAGTTAGGCTGTGGATTCACTTCACACAAATATGTAGTAAATGAGCCCACGCTTTCATGGCGCTTCTCTTTGAAAGTACAAGGAAACCGCATCACCAAGACTCCTATACCAACACTTTAACCTGTAGATCCTGGAAAGTTTGGCGCTTCGCTCACGATCGAAAGAAAAACGCATGCGTTCAATTCAGTCTCTACTCTGTTTTCTTTCGATGTTTCGCTGAGGAAGGAAAGGATGGAAAGAGGGTCGAAATAAGCACGATTCCAAGGTTGCGTGGACTTAGCTAGATGAATGGGTGGGACTTACGGTTTCTTCGGATTGGATCCTGCAGCATCGTAGAATTGATACAAACCTATGCCACGACCGCCCGACAAATGGTCGGAGTCTGCAACTGGAATTCGCATCGGACCGCCCTCACCCCTAGCCCTCTTCGCAGAAACAACAAAACGATGATAACCACTGCCATAGCTTAGTAAACTTGCTGAACTCTAAACCCTAAACCCAAACATCTCCCAACAGAAACGGAAAATTCAGAAAACCCCCCCCCACCAGAAAGATGGCTACTCGTAGCAGCAAGAACTGAACAGTGCTTGAGCCCTGAAGCTCTTCCAAAATGGTAGCACCAAAAGCATGTTTAGGGGTTGAGGGGTTTAGGGTTTAGGATTTAGGGTTTTAGGGTCAGAGTTGCTCACTTAGCCCAAGACACCAAATCCGTGCAACCTAGAGCCTCCAAGCTTGAAGTCTTGCACATGGGTAGTTCTCTAAATTAGGGTCCCTTTTGGGGTCCTTTTTAAAAGAGTGCCGTATATACTATATTGGGGCTCTAAAAAGGGACCCTAATTTAGAGAACTCCCCACATGCTGATGCTTTCACAATATGGGAGTTTCCGAAAATTAGGGGACCCTAATATAGTACCCTAAATAATAGGATCCCTTATAATCGAGCTGCTTAATCCCCCG